AAATTCCCAATAATATTTTATCATTGCTGGTGATCATCCATAGCTCTTACTATTACTCTGAACTTTTTGTGCACAAATTCATTCCTTACGTAGTGGATACGACTAATATGATGACCTAAAACGGTCCTGTTGTGTCGGTTTCGACTAATCGTTAAAGCACGTGAACTTTGCTTAGAGGCCATTGAAACAATTGCACGTCAATCTCAGTGCTTTAAGTCACGTTACACCGATTCAGCATCCTTATTCTGAGAGTTGCCGCATTCTGAGATAGCAAATGGATCATATGGGTGTGCAGGCCTTCACATGCAAGATAAATTTGGGTATATAGATGTATCCTGGAAATCACGTCTGCCATTGACCGTGATATAATGAACAATGCAACGAGCAGTATGAGACAGTTTAGGGTTCAGTCCATATTGACCAGTGCACTGGAAACTATAATGTTGATGATTTACAGTAAAGTTGAGAAAAAACTGGTTGAACGACAACACTTGTAAGTGGTGAAAGATGAAAGGAAAATCATTTATTTAAACTATAAATAGTCATTCTTTAACGTGAAACAGAAAAATTGGTTCGTTTTCAATGAATATATGGTATAGTAGACTTGAACGCAATATGTCGAAATTTTTGATGTCAGAACTTTCGGCGTATAGTTATGTACAAATTCCAATTTGCCAATGTATTATGAGTGATTAAAACAGTACGCTACCACATGGATTGTATCAGTTAGTTACTCACTGTCGTCAGGAACATTTCATTCCCCAAGCATTCTTAATACTTTTTACTCGATTTTATGACGGTGGCAAACGAAGTACAACCCACAGCATAGATTACCAACGATAATGGGCAACCGAAGCTGTGAGACTGGGCTTGCTGAATCACATAAAACACTAGTAGGACCTCTTTGGGAAAACTGTGATCTGTTCGGAATTTCGAATAATTGAATGTAGTATCAGCTTGTGCATTGATCTTAACACAAACGTACTAGGAATTAATGATGCAACATCAAGAATAAAGGTTTTAGTCAATAAACGCACTAAAATGGGATTTTGAAACATTTGGATCGGGCACATCAAAGAAACATGATAAAGCAAAACGACAAATGATGGATGAAGACCACGATTAGGGAAATCACATCAATATCATTATAGCTTTCGGGTTCACGCTAGGGTTTTTGGGTTAATAGTTTGCAAAACCATTCTAGGGAAGCCGTTTACGCAAGTGAAAATGAAAATAGTGGTGGGGTATGAAAGTAAAAAGATAGAATAATCACACGGCAATACAGTAAGCCGTATTATAGTGTCGTTAATAGCTCACCCAAATGATTGTGTTGTAAACAATGATTATAATGACCATAATTATATGAATAACTACAAGACCAGATAAAAGCGGTACTAACAATTGGATTAAGCTCTAGTACAAACAATGTCAGAAATTCTATACTGTAAGATGTATAGAGTGCAAACGGAACTCAAATTTTGGTATTTTGATTGGAATAACAACGGTGCAACATTCTAGGACACGAAGAAATCAGAAATGTTCACAAGTACAAAAGGGACTTACTAAGTCATTTGAAACTGATTGATTTTCAGTACGCATTTCGAAATCCATAGTGCCAACACTCATGTCTCTATTAGGCCGAGACGTTCCGTTTACTCGAGAGACTGTTTGAAGGGCAGCGCGCACAGGACCTTGTCGACCATTCAAAGGACTGGACTGATAAACAGCACTGGAATGGTCATTCCTTTTTGCATTTGTCTATCGACCAACATCCATAAAATAGAGACCAATAAACCACCAGATATACAGAATGAACTGAATTGTTTTGATGTATGAAACAAATTGTAAGTATCCTGATAAGGTTAGAATTAACAAATTGTGAGTAACAATAGAATGCATACTACGAAGGTATATTTAGTTTAAAACCTTCCTCATGCTTTTCTATTGAAGACTAGATGGTGAAGGCTTTGCTTCATTAAAAAAATTCAAGCTGATTCTCTTTTCGCATACCCTAAGCTGAAGCAAGCTGATAAAGCGTTGAAAACAATTGCCCGACTAGAGAGAGAAAATAAAGGGTAGTTGATGAAAATCTTTTCAGCATTTATTATTCACGATTGTATAAATTGCCCCGATAATAAACTCAATAGAAAGAAGCCGCGACCAGTCCGGGTGACGTGAACCATCAACAACATTAGAAGAACTCAAACCCGTTGTCTACATAAAAATGCAATCGTTACGTTTACCGGGGCAGCAATTGTTCATTCCTGAGAGCATTATGAATACAATTTCCGAGGAATACCTAGCAAAACATCTTTAATTGAAGTACTTTCTGAGAGTCAGAAAATCAATAGTCTCAATTGTCTGAAGTAAACTGTAAGAAGATTGCCGTATCTGTTAGAGCCAACTGCGGAAGACTCAGTGAACTGTGATGCGAAAATAAACAGACACAGCGAGTGCTTTTTAATTTAATCTTAAAATGCATCAGACAGGACAATAAACGTTTTCTGGAACTAATGCACATTGCCTAAAACGAGGAATGAGCAGAAAGTTTTCGGATGCACAAAAAAGATTTATTTGTTACAAAAAGTAAGCATTACATTTTCTCGAAGTATTTTACACCAGCGTTCATGTACAGTTTCATGCGATGAAACCATTTGGTGAAACAGATCGACCATGCCGAAGTGGGTAACCCTTCGACTAGTTCAATAAAGGCCTAAACTGTAGCTGTCAGCAACTCGTATCTGATTGCTTTCAGCATCCGCTTGACATTTGGGAACACAAAATAGGTGCACAGAGCCAGGTCTGGACTGTAGGATGGGTGACCAAATTTCTGGACGCTTTCCCTAGCCCAAAAATTACTGACGATTTGAGACCTGCTTGCAAGTGCGTTGTCATGGTGCAGCGAGGGTTCTCGTGCTGTAGTCCTTGGAGGACGGCTGGCAACAGATTGCAGCACTTTCAGCAAAGAGAAAGATTGGATTACTAGTCTCCGGTGAATAGGCGTTGCAGTACGAGCGGCAAAGTGGCTACATGACTGGTTTTGGTGATGAACACCATTAGCTCTGCCACACTGCTTGACCCACCGACATAAAACAACTTTGGCTTCGCTTCAATATAAGCTGGTATGCGTGTAACTTAACAGCGATGTTTGGGTATCTACGCACTTTGTATTTAATTAGGTTCTCTTCATTATACCTCTAGGTTGATAACCTCTCCAGTTGTACGCATCTCAGTGGTTGCCATGAAGCGTGTAGTAGAGAAGACAATATTTGTACAAACGAATAGCCAATGCATTTTGCTCAACAAGTTGCATTCATCAACCGGTGCATATTAAATCCAGGGTTGATTGATGTAGCTCATTCATTTATCAAAATGGCAGGTCCATATCCGCAAAACGGTCGATCAATATAATACCATTATGTTATGTTTTGAAAAACTTAGAGAAGACCCGTACCATACATCGAATTGAACAACCAGTCAATACTTCAGTTGACCAGTTTACCGGTTATAGGCGTTCCGTCAGGGACTGGTGAATACGGCCCGAGGATCTTTTTGAGTGAGTGATGTATTGAATAAAAATAACTCAACAGGAGGTAAAGCTCTCAGCAGCACAATAAAGGAAATATAAAATGCGGGATCACACCTCGTGCACAGCTGGATCATCGTTTAGTCGCTATGGGTTCTCATATCTCTGTCGTTGTAGTGATGAAAAGCCACGGTAACTGAGTGCAAGGACAGTGCAGTTGCAGTATTCAAAACGAGACAACGAACTAAAGCCGCATTCGGGAGTAAAGACATTCTGTGGTTCCACAATAATAATAATCAAACCAAGAAAACTGTCGGTGATAAGTTACTCTGTTTTTCTTTTGGTAACCAGTAAATCCCATCATGTGCACTAAAATATCAATGGCTTGTACTGCCTAAACTTTCATCGAAGCACACCATCTGTACTCCAATGAATGTGCATCCGATGCCCACCACAACCTAGATAAAATAAGTATATAATCAAACTATTTAAAAAATCAACAATATAACTATTTGGACGTTGCTAAAAGGACTGCGTTCACCCAAATACCTCAAAGCCGGGGAATTTACTGTGGACGTGGATGTCTAGGTACCACCATCAAATGGATCAGTCTATCTATCTCACCCCCACGTAACGAGACTATAGCTATTTTACATCATGAACTGAAAACAGGTCACGAACTGACGCAGGGGGGGGGGAGTAATCTAAGGTCATCTATCTGGTATCCCACAATTTTGTTCACTTGAGAAGACCGCGAAAAGGCTGTGCTTAAGTAAGACACTATTGCAGTTCTCAGCATTGTATCAGTGTTCATAGGACAGATACAATTCTGACTCAGTTGTGACAGATCCATCCCATATGAACTTTTGCAAAAACTGTTCTCACATATATTTCACAAAATATTGGACGGTTTGTAAAATGGACAATGCACAGTAATATATCAATTAGAATTATGGAGGAAAATAAAAATATGTTGCATACCGTCTGAACTCTCAGATATTATTATATACCAAATTTCCCGTTCTTAGACGGAGCGAACATTGAATTGACCTCGAATGAGATGGCATCGATTATTTTGCGATGATTTAAGAGCCTATTTTATTTACATAAACAGAACACACCTCAAAGTCGACTATGTGGATGTTAAATAGAATATTTACCTTCAATTTTAAACTATACGGCTTCCTCATTCAATTATTTACATGATTCTATCTTTTCATAGCCATTTACTTCTCATTCAGTTATTACCTCAGCAAAGACTAAATTTTCAAATCTAATTAGTTTAATTGAGTCAGGTTAACTGTAATCATAATTGTTTTACTGAACCTTTAGAATCTCTATAGTTTCCGTTTGTAAAGTGTGCAAAATGTCTGTTAAATATCTAACTGTCGTTCCGTATTTGTGGATTATTGTTTTTCACTTCGACCTAAGAGTTAAAGATACTAACCCTTGATGCCGTCCGGTGTTCTCGTACCGGATCCGAATCTCCACCACCATTGTTTAGAGAAAGAGCCCGAGGTGAACGCTTCTTCCTTTCGGACGGTTCCATTCCTGGGCGACTGCGTCCTACAAGCATCCGAGCGGTGGGATCTATGTAACCAGCCCCAGTTCGATTGGGTCTACTGGGTGTGAGTAGTGTGGAGACAACGGAACAGTGAGCGGGAAACGCCTTTGCTGCTGTTGGTGTACGTATACTAGTAAGCGCATCGATACAATCAGACGTTTCCACTGGAGCAGTGCGGCGATTTATATTTTTATTTCTGTAGAATATTCTGGAATTAGTTGTGGCTTTCTGATTTCCTGTTTCTTGTGGCTGTTGCTGTAATTGCGGTCGCTTTCCGTCATCTGTAGAAGAGCTTGCAGGATCATCGTCTCGTAAAGATTGAGCAGATGCACGACCTGGATTCGAGTATTTAAAGAAGCAAATCATGAAGGATATAATGTTACAGTGATAAATTGTTAAATGCTATAGTTATAGGATTATGAAATGAAAAGGTAAATAATTTACGCTAATGGCAACTGAAGCGGAACTGATAAAACACTACAGAGTAGTATCTCAATGTCATTGACCGAATCAAAGAACTTTTGATTTTTCAGGTGGGAATAAACAGAATACTATTATTAGGGCATGTACAGTGATCGGCGAGAATGATAAGATATTGTTGAATGCAGAGCAGTGCCACGAAATTGGATATTTTAGAACAACCTAAAGGTTTTTAGGTTTATAAATGAAGAAAAAAATACCACTTAATAAAATACATCAATTAAAGACGTCTATTTCCGTAATACCGAACGTTCAGCGTTTAACTACAACAACAGCAGCCGAATTCGAAGTCAGACATAAGCACTTGGCTGGTGTCTTGAATATCAGTGAATTTACTACCGACACATGTTTGAAAGTACCTCAATTTCTGGGATACGTGTTATATGAATTTTGTGAGTTTGGCGTTCCAGAAGATAAATGGTGAATCGGCTGCTACAGGCCAAGTGCCACCAAAGGAATTTTGATGGAAGCACAAGGAAAACACTCAACAAAGGTAAGTATGTCCCAACGGTAGAATTTATTCATCAAATACAGGTGAGTCCGCTTATTTACATGAATATAAAGACGAAATAGTGAGACAAAAGAAGTTCCTGCAGTCTTTATCCTTGCTCGTAAAGACTGAGAATACGGTATTTGTTTTGTATCTCCTGGAACGAATGAGTGTTAATACAGCGTTTTTGGTAACTGATAAAAGCGTAATTCCTGAAAGGCCGTTTACCGTTTCTCCGGAACTGCACAGCAGGTCTTTCACAGAGGGCTTCTCTGTTTAACCCACCTGTTTTCAAAACCCTTGTTGATAAAATCCATATTTGTCAACTTCAATAAAGTCATTACATGTGAACGGTGATTACCTAGGCGATCTGAGTAGCCTATCTTAATTAATGTACCACTGATACCGAAAAAGGCTCCTTTTATCTCTGAATAAATAATGTTTCCTTTGATCTCGTCTCTTAATTTGACGTTTTTACAAATAATTATCAACTTACTAGATATCCTCGCACTATTTTGTGCAATGGCACTCCGTGGATCATACGCCTTTCGACGCTGCCAGTTCATAAGAGCAGAGATTTTTGCAGCTTCTTGGGAATTTCGGTATAACCGAGGACTAGCAATGGACGCAGATTTTGCTGTCAGTGGTTGTTGCTGTTGCTTTCCTTTGCTGGTATCCCACCCGTCACGCAGCTGTGTAAATAGCTGACGGGAATTCGACTGGCCACCATTTTCAGGATATCTTAATTGTTTGATGAAATGATATTTAATGATTATGACTTGTGGGATAGGAAAATACAACGAGTAGGGAAACGGTCAAATATTTTCTGATTACTTTAGATTCCTAATTTATTGACCTATTGAGATCTATAAAACAAACATCATCATGTACATTCAATTTCATGGATATATAAGTAGTCGAACTGGTCAAACCATAGAGCGTAGAATATATAATCAAGAAATTCGTTTTTAATGTTTTGAACAATTTAAAGCAGCAGTCATGAGAAACTGGATATAAATGAATTTAATATTTTACTGTACAATGAAAAGTTGTGTTATGGGAGACCATGATTTTAGCGAGAATTGTTGATTTGGATAAGAGTAGCTGTATAATAAGTGTACAACTGAGCATTGAGATAGCTAGAGGAAACAAACCAACTCTCAGCACGTTCAATGCATAAGAACTCGAATAATGATCACGGAGATTGATTATCGTCGTCATTGGAAAAAACTGTGAATATATCACTATGACAATATCATACACACTACATTACACACTGATGCAGTAGGAAGCAGTCCATGTTTCTAAGTAGTGATTCTGCATAAGTTTAAACTTCAAAACACGTAACGATTCTACTCTAATACGGCGAGTGTATATTCAGTTAACATGACGGTTTACACAAAGAAAAATACATAGAAAACTTTGTTCTTTAAGTGTATTCCGTATAGTTATTCGTAAAATACCACGCATGTCTACGCTCCTAATAGTTTGATGAGCCTATAAGCGGTTATGATCAGGGTTGTAATCAAGGTATAAGAGGTAAAATAGGACCGAAGTGAAACTCATCGAAATGTGATTTCCCAAATAAAACCCAATTTCATACAGCTAGGAAATAACATTATTGACTTCTACCAGCCATCCAATTTGATTGTATAATTGAGTTGTTTATTTCTCTATATTCTTTTTACAATAAGATGGATAATTCGTAAAATACATCCTTGAATGTGAAAACATTTTCAAATACTAGAACAGCGAATGTTTTCTTTGTTCATTGATGCATTTCAAAGAAATGTCCTACATGTGTTACGCAACGGCAAATGGGAGTTGAGGCAAATTAGTCGAGCGCCATCCACATCCGGGTATACGATTTACCGTCTTCTAATAAACAGTACTATGTAATATATCGTTTTAAATAGGACGATGGAGCAATCCTAAATCGATTTGGTCTTTATCTCTTTTCAAGTACTCAGGTTGTGGGACATTACCGATAAGCCACAGGATCTAAAATAATCTATAACATCACTTATTTCCTTTATCGTTGTTTGATAAAAACGCAAAACTTTAATCAAATTACATATATTGATTATTTGTATTACCAAAGGCAGTGTTACTGAATAAACAAGAAACAAAAGAGATGGGGAGGGCATTTTGAAACCAAATCGATTAAGAATACGGTATTTTCTTACACTAAACTCACAGGTAGCGAGTGATTCGAGAAGAACTTCCATTGCGCGTGGTGGATGAACCGCGCTCACGCTGATCTGGATCCACATTGTACAATGTCATTCTTGAGGTGGGTTGCTGGGATCTAGGTCTCGAAGTTGAAACTACAGCACCGGTCCGACGCTTGGCATTTGCTTCTCGCCGTGAAAAATCTTCCTCCGGTACGTTTTCGGATCTAGAACGGTGAGTGGATTCGGGAGATTTCAAAGGTGGGTTACGGCGTTGCAGCATGGCCAATAACCGCCTATTTATGCCAGAATTGCAACCGGCCGCTGAGTTTAAGAAGGCCTCGGTCACTTCCGGATCTTCATCAATCAGTGTTGAATCAACTTGTTCCTGTTTGACATCCCCGTTTAGCAACGGAGATCCATTCGTCATTGTGCGCTGTTCCAGTTGCTGTAATAAAAATGAAATGAGTAGATTTCAAGAAAGTTAGGTTATATATGGTACAAATATTACCGCGTGATAGATTCAGCTGTGATATCTATCTATCTATCTATCTATCTATCTATCTCAAAGTTATTCACAAGGAATTAGAGCAGTTAAACCGGCTCTTTTGCTCCTCACGAATCCACTGTAAACGATCGATAATCAGGCATACAAGCTCTGACATACACGGCTTCCTAGGTCACTAGAAAGAATGACCTTTTCTGGTAACGAAAATCAGCGCTGGCAATGGAATGTCAACATAGATTTTAAGAAACAGTGCCTCATACAAAATTAACCACCTTGGGTAGCAGTAAGGAAGTGCAGCTCACGTGAATCATAGAGTCGACCACTAACTTTTACGTAAAGGTATAGAGACAATATAACCAAACATTTCTACCCTCTCTACCATTCGTATTAGGTTATTTTTCAAAAACGAAATTCATACAGATGAGTCAATTATAGACATTTTTCACAAGTATTCCTCAACTCTATATCTGAGTTAGCTCTCGTAAAGATTAATTGTTTGGGATTCTGATGACGGTTTACTAATGAACAACATTATGATTGTTCAGTATTTTCATTATGCAGGGATAATTCGGCGGCATTTGATTTATCCCAAAACGGTCGTAAGCTGTGCAAGGGTGCCACCACTAACGGTCTAGCACAAACTGTTTCACTTTGTGAACAATTCAACCACACCTGGAACACAAACAGATTTGCTGAGTAAATAATCACAGTGGCAAAAAGGAAATAAGTTAGGCTTACTCGTTATCCTATAAATGGATTATCATGTGCAGTACAACATTTAAACAAGCTCAGGTTTGTTTTCACAATAAATACGACTCAAGTTCCACTTATCATAAAATAACAATTTTGGCTGCTTTTTTGTTGTGAGGAACAACCGCAGTCACTTTCAGGTAGACAGATCGCAGTCTGCCGAAAGCGACTAGCAAAAAACATCGCAAAATTGGCGCTTTTTACAAACACAGAATTCTCAAAGACATAATCTATATAATTTAATCACCAAAGCCGTTTGAATAGCATCGATCCCTGAAGCATATGGGTCTTTTAAACGCTCGACGTTTCTTTCTGTGTATTGCGAATTTCCACAAGCTTGTCAGAAGATAAGTCAAAAATTCTAATAAGAACTGTTTACTTTTTGCATAGACTTTGTAAAGCTTTATCACTTCAGTAATCCCAAAAGGTTTCATTTCATTGCATTTCAGTTATTGAAGAAAATACAGTTGAAAAAACGCATCACGGCAAAATGTGATAAATTATTACAAATACTTACAGCCACCAACTTCTGTGTTTGGGTCAGAAAATTTTCGTCTTTGTTCCCATCGGCCGCATTTGACTTGGAATTGAGATTGGATGGCATAGGGACAATTTTACCCAGAAGCGGACTGGGGTTGCGAACAAGGGATGTCGGTAATTTTGGTCGGTGATAAGTGCCTGAACCGCTTGTTTTTTCTGCGTCACTAGCAAACGATCCTGTTTTGTGTAACATTGCAGGTAGATTAAAAAGAACCTGATGTTATTCAAGGATAAGCAAGTACATGATGCGTAAAGCAGAAAATAGTTTATTAATTGACGAATAGAGATTATAGCAGAAATGAATCAGTTTTTGCCTACTTATCATCTTGAGACTAAATACATGAATCAACAAGTCACTTTCTTTAACCCGAATCCTGAGGTAATTTCAAAAGCTAAGAGGAGGACAAAATAATATTTATTTTCGATATTGTGACTAGATGTAGACGTTCAAAAATAGGTCAGCTGTTTTGTCTGTAGGTGAATAAATGTTACTTACCTAAATCAATGCTTGAGTTTAGCAAAATGATGAAACTAAAATTATTCAAGTCTGGAGTAACGAATGATTTAACCATGTTTCAAAACGCACAAGTTATGCGAATAAAAGTATACCAATGGGATCATAATGAGGTCGAGGGATAAACAACAACTGCAGTACCAGAATAGTTGGATCAATAATTAGTCATAAGAAAAGTTCGCTAAAAGACAAGAACGAGAGATTCTGTCGTTAAAAGTTTGTTTTCTGCGGACAAAACAGGATAATAACTTTTACACTAATATGCTCAATACTTAAATATAAATAAAGAACACTGTTAACTAGGAACTGCTCATAGACCTTTATCATTTCATGGTATTTCCACAATAAGATGTTTAGATATGCTTGTTCTTGATTTCTTGTATCTGATCATATTTGCGAATACAAAGCAGTTCTCACAGTTGAGTGCACACTGGACTATTTTCACGAAAATACATAGCAATGTCATTGGTTGAAAACGAAGGCAATCATATTTCACGTTTGTATGGTTTAATGATGACATGTTTTGGACCAAAATAAATGACCTAGTTTGCTATAACGTAGACCGGACACCAAAGATCTGCCTGGAGGGACTTTAATAGAAGTGATGTACCGCAACATAAAACAGTTTTTCATCACAGAAAGAATCATTTTTCTGTGTTTAGTCGAGCTACAATTATAGTAAAATTGAGGAGAACGGATGGTCATCTACATAAGACTAACTGCACGTTATAATGTCACGGATATGTGGGTATCCTATTCAATTAACACTGATAGTCGAATTCTTTAGTAGGTGATTAATGCCTTCCCTGGAAGAGTTATAAATGGTTAGTGTTAAATATAGAGTACTGTGATTGAAATATATATAGCGTTAGTCAAAGTATTCACAACAAAGTGAATGTGTCAGAATGGTTACGCGAGACTAACTCATTTATTCCCGAAAGAGTTGGTGTATTGTTTATCTCAAAATACAATTTAGTAAATTTTCACGTACTGATCAAAGAACAAAAATATCATGTCCAGTTTCGTAATTATCAAAATGAAACCCAAAATTGTAGATTAGCGTGCTTTAAATCTCTCAGCATCTCGGTTTTACAGTTTATGCAACCGTTCTATGATAGCAATCAAGTAATACGTTTATCAGATTAACAAGATGCTAAACTTACGATGTGTCACATGATTTGACCAATTTCTAGAGCCATAAAGCATCATTTCCGTAAATAATTACGGATACTTTTTCAAGTTATGACTTTCATTTAGTTTATCATCTTATGCGACCAGTTGCAGTACTAAGTAGTGAGGAAAATAACACCGACTAACAAAGCTGTAGCGACGAAATTTTAACCAATCGTCCATCTAAGGTGTGTCTTGTTTCAAGGTTGTGTCACGTGTGTATAAGTATGCGGGTTTAAGTAACATTTATGTCATATCTGCTTAAGATGTGCACACCAACGACAAGGGTAACTTAATGAAACTGTCAACAGACGGAAGTTTTGTGAGAGAGCGTTCGAGCGTTTCAAACAATAACAATAACAAAAACCGGAAACAAGAACATTCCGAGTTAAAATTGACCGATATTTGCTTGTTCATATCCGTATTGTGTCTTGACTGAGTGATCGCATTTAAGTGACAATAAATTTGACAACGATTTAAGCCTACAAGCTCAATATGGACATCTGTAAAGATCTCTTGAATTATACGTTGGGTTTCACAATGTTGAAGCTGTTCTATTCTTTCAAGATAAATTCTTGTGATTCGAGTACACAAAGTAAAAATGAATTTTTTTCAGAACGGAAAGAGAGCATTAAAATAAGTAAAAGTTGACTGCAGAATTTAAATTCAAATTTTTATTAAAAATCTGGAAGGTATTGAATCCTCATAGACATGAAACCCTAAGGCAGTTATAGCTAAAGTGTTTGAACAATGATTTCTTTGATATATATCTTGCGCATTCCGGAAAAGGCGTAGCAACGATTGCTTGCACCAACATCTTCGTTAGGCATCACATGCTCTCCTCTGTACCGTCTATGCTGGCTTGAGAACATGTAATAATGCTAGCTCAGTAGCTTTCACCATGTGCATTGTTTGAGTGAGTTGAGCACGGTTGGAAGTAAGCTCTTTGTGGTTGAAATATGATATGGCGAAGTGCGAATGAAAATGTGGGCTGAAGATCTTGCGTATATAGTTCAGCCTGAGGTTCCAGGTCTGATAACAAATAATCGTGAATGTCTCTGATTAGGAAACCCGGAACGCATGAGTAGTAGCTGAGAAAACTTATTTCAACATACATCTACAAACCTTTTATAGAAGAAAAACACGTACGATAGAAACTTTAATTCCGTTAACTGCATAATGTTTCTTTTGTTCTTTCAATCAGGTTTTAGTTTAATTTGTTGTCATTCGATTTGCACATGTTTGTGAAAAGCGCACACATTTCCATTTCCCAGAGTGGGAATAAAAACTGAAACAATTCCGTTAATGAATTCCTTATACCATCAGGGGCAAACACGGAGTAAATTTGAAACAAAAAGAAATCCGCATCATCTGTTTTATCGGTATGTAACATTACATTCAAGATAGCTTTGATTATTTTATTCTTTGCCGTAATTCAATAATTTCCAGGCTTATAGATATTTCAAGATGTCGGAATGCATGCATATCTATATGTTTTCCTAATAAACGTTCGTCTAAACAACAGAGGTGGTCATAATTATGAATCCTTAGGCTGGTAGCTGTCAGATCTATCACTTCGTTCCAGGGGTTCAATCATGAGCGAAGAGTAAGAAAACTAAAGGATCCACGTCTGCAGCAGGCGATAGTTTGGGTGGGTAATATGCTTGCGTTCTGCTTGTGTGGTCCTGCGTTCAATCCCCATTTGGGAGAATAGGGCTCCACTGTTGATAAAACCCTAATATGTCGGAACACATGTACAGTGCTTTATGGCTCTTCAGTTCACACTTAATTTTATCTGTACACGATGAAGTGAATTGTAAAATGAAAAGAGCCCTATTTCAGTTCTTTCAGAAAACTGCGCAACATTACCAAGAATAATTCAAATATAAAATTAATAAAGGGTTTTGTGCATAGAAACAGTCCATTTTGAATAGCATTTACTGGAAAATAAACAGAAAATACGGGACCTATAAATGTATCACGGGTTTGCTTCTTTAAACCCAAGGATGTTATTGGTGATCTGATTAGACTGACCTGATGATGAATTGAACATAAGGTTTCACTCAAAGAACATCCGTGCACAGAACAATTGATTTACAGTTATTTCACCATTTGTACCATAAATAAATTTCTAAAACACATTCAGATACCCCAAGGAACGTTTTAGAAATTATTTTCGTTCGGAATACTTATAATTACGCTAGAATTATCAATAAGTGATTATCTTAGGGGTATAAAAGAAAGAAGTCAGGTTATCTTAAAATGACTGCGGACTGACTAATTTGACCAGCGTACTCTGAGAGATCCTCAGACTCGTCGTAAGTCACTGACACTTTAACGCGTAACCCAACAGTTGACGACTAAACTGCTTTTAGACTTCATTAAGAGTGTATAAATCGTTATTTATTTCTCTGCCTCATTTGAGAACACAGGCGTTCCTATCGTATACTAACCTATTAAATCTTCTTTGATATTAAACTGGTCCTTCACACAGTCAATCCTAACGAACTTGAGTAGTTTTCTGTTTGATTGGCTCGCCGATAAAGCGTACTTCACCGTAAATGTGCACTTGAAT